TGTTCAAGAAGAAGGCGGTGGTGAAGGAAAGCAAGAGACAGGAAAAGGAATACTGTGGGACTGTCCTGCTTCAAGGTTGTATATGGTGAGATTTTTGGACTTATGTGCAAACATGAGCAGTGTATAATTCTTTATGCCTATTTTTAAAATATATTCTAATTTTTAAATGCTTTTTATCATATTCTGTAGGGACTTAAAGTTCATCATATCAATACTTCTTGAAAAATACCTGTTCCATATTATGCCTAAGATGTTTGATATGCAGACAGATAGTGAGGTTAACCTTAACAGCCTAAGTTGTTTGATAATAACAATAAGCTTGTCTTCTGCATGGTTAACAACCTAAGTTTGCAGACCAAAATTAGATAAAAAGGAGGGCTGCAAGGAAAACCAACATTTTGGCCCTAGCCTTCTAAGGTCAATTAAGACTCAGGACATATGAGAACTTGTACTGTAATGTCATGTAACTCAGTAGGGTCCCAAATTTTCTGATCAAGGAGATTGTGTGGCCAAAGAGGAAAGTGATCAATGATGTAGAGTGTGCCTAAGGCGAGTCACATGGGGAGAAAAGTTTCTCTCGGACTTTCACAGAGAGCACATTGGCCAAGCAATGGCCATGACTCAACCACATGGCTGACACTGACAAAGGTTCTACAATCTGAGGTACAGGATCTCAGGATACATCCTGAGGGGATTTCACAGACCTTAGCAGACCCAAAAGCTGCAACTCTTGTTGCATAGGTCCTGCTTTACCTTGGTCTTAACCATCCAGAAGAAAAGTATAAAAACGAAATATAAGTAAAGCCATGCTGTTATATTGAGCTGTGGGGGACTCAGCTCAACAATTTCTGACATTGCCAGTTAAGCGGAAGACCCAATACTATTGCGGGCTACTGGACACTTTTGGAATGTTTTGCTGAGTTTACACACCTATAATATTCAAATAATGGAAATTAACCAAAGAAAGGGTATACAGATGAATGTCCATTTTGTATCTGTGTCTTCAGAGTGGTTGGGATAGATATATAGTTACATTCTCTTAATGAATAGAATGATTTGTTCTAACGTTGTTTGTAAATAGGATGTCAGGTCTGCTTGTACAGCAATTACCCACTAAGAAGAATGTATGCAGTGTGTTAATTATTGAAACTGTCCTACCGATTTGATTTGAAACTGTCTCATTTTATTGATAAACTGCTATTTGTTTATCAATAAAATAATGGCAAAAAATAAAAAATAAAAGGATTATGAGGACATTATGGAGATATTAATAGAAGCGGCAGTGATAAGGTGATACAAAACAGTAGGAAATCCATCCTCAGGCTGAGATTTGGAAAAGCAGGCAGAGTTGCAATGGGGCTGAACTGAGAAGCTGCTGACCCTGCCATGCAGAACTGGGTGTGTCTGTTACTTTCTTTTTTATTTTCTTTTCTTTTTGTTCTTGACTTTTAAACAATCTTACCTTCTTTATTTTATAAAGAGAATGAAAAATAACGAAAACTGTTTATGATGATACAGAATTTCAATAACTTGTCCTGTGTTCTGATCATTGATCCAATGCAGAATGGTTTGTTATTAATAATAGGATACTGATGAATTTTTGGAAATAAACTTATAAATTCTCAAAACAAATGAAATATTGTGGATATCCTTTTGATGAAGTGGTGAGGAGTTTGCCTTAGTCTCTGATAGTTCCTGTGAAGGTCAACGAAGATAGGTTCTTCAGGGTGGGTAAAGTCCATTTTGCCTTTGATCATCTCACCATTGAAAGCAGCTACCTGTATGTCAGCTCTCTTTGTAGTGCTAGTGGAAAGAACCAAAGAAACAACAAACAAGGACACATGAAACAGAGGAGTGAAATTTGGATGAAATGCTCTCTAAGATCGGGGAACTCCTTGGAAGCATAGGCACAGACTGAGCTGAGTACGAAGGCAGGGAACACATATCATTCTGCAATGCAGAAAGTTTTGCACTTTTAGAAAAGGAAACAGTGGACCAGGATGTCTCCAAAAGGAAGCAAATTCCTAAGGCTGTGGGAACTCCTGAGGACGGACTTCAAGCTCCAAGGAAGTGAGGTCAAAGAACCTCTCCCTCATTATTTCACTTATCTCACGCATTAGTTCTACTGGTGGAGAATAGACAAGCACACTAACAGAGTTTAATGTTAAATAAAACAAACCAGGGAAACTATCGATACTTGAAGAGATTACTCCCATGTGGAAGATAAAGTAGCTGAATTCACAAAAAGAGAAAGAAAATCTGTCTGAAACAGGGTAGGTTGTGGGTGCCGGAAGCGGAATGTGGGGATTGATACCCAGTAACAAATACACAGCTGAAAGAGGGAATGAATCCCTATGTTTCTTCCTAAAGAAGCGTGTTTATATGTTATATTATTGTACAGTATGATCCTAACAAGAGGCTTCAGAGTTAAGGACGCATATATGAAATAGGAGCATCTGGGAGAAAGTATTAAGTTGAAAAGAAGTCTCAGATGCTA